CTGCAGATGAATTAGGGCCGGTTCACTCATCTACAAATATTTTTTTCAACAACTGGCAGCTAGCTCAAAAATTTTACTGTCATCTTTGTATTTCTTTGCCTTTTAATAACCATAACTCAGCAATCTAAGTTGATGCTTTTACGTTTCTTTTTGCTATAGTGTCACTCTGCTGATATTTAGACAGTCAGTTCTTGGAAATTTGTTCCATTATAAAAAAGAATCCAAAATGTAAATAAATGTTTGGAATTTTTTTTCCTCTTCCACCTGTTTTTTAACTACTGTGTTCCAAGAAAGGAAGTATCAAATTTGGGCTCCATGTCAAACAAGGATTTTGAAAGGTTGAAAGCAAAGATAATAGATGCTGAACTGAATAAATGAGAAAAGACTCTTTAACAGGTCAAGGACCTACTTCTAAGCTAGTCAGTTCGCAGGAGTCACTGGTAATGATTACATTCTCTGCTTGATTTACTCATAACAACAGTAGTTGCAGTGGGAACAAAACATTAGGCCAAATTCTGATCTCAGAATATAAGTCTCAAGCAAATTTACTCTTAATTTTTTTAAATTCTGATGACATCACCTTGGATTCATTCCACTGTGACAGTGGAATTTTAAAAATGAAGGCACTTGAGACCAGTGTTTCTACCATCCTTCCTGTCTAATTTTGGATACAAAAAGCAGCAGAGGTATATGTTTAAATTAATGCTGCAGCTGTAATGTGTATGCTCTGTATGCTTCATCTGTACATTGAGGTTGACCAGATTTTGAGCATTTCCATACTCCATTGATAGATTATCTGGCACACTCTCTAGCTTTGAAGAATTCTAATTCAGATCACTAATTCACTGCACAACTTTTCAGTTATTTTCTTTGGCAGAAGGAGACACATTTTTAGCTATTTAAGACTCTGTGTCGGTTTGTAAACAATTTTGCAGGAAGGAGAGAGTAATTAGGGAGTCATTTGATATGGAAGTGGATTTTGGGATGCCGACATGATAAATCTGTGAAAGCGATATTGTTTCACTGTTCATTTAATAGCCAGACAAAATGAAATAGAGATAGCTTTGCAAAGTTGGGGAATTTCCACAATGACAAACAAAACTACACAGCCCATGTGAAAATTAAGCGCACATAAGGAGCAGTGGGGACACTGTAACTTTATGTGCTCTAGTCTCTTTTGCATCGGCTTTTATTTTTCCATGAGTCATTTACATATCCTCCAATTGAGTGCACAACACATCTAAAAAGCTTTCGGACAGAAGTCTTTGCACACAGCAGGAACAGCGTTCTATACACTTTTAATTCCCATAACCATTATGTGGGAAAATGGGCTCCAAAGAAGTAAAGGTTTAGTCTCTCTTTGTCAGTATGATTTATGCAGCTTATTCGTACCAGAGTACGAGTTCTTCATTTATTTGCAGAGTGCATTTACAATCACAAGTCAGTGAACTCAGAGAAGGTGGAACTCATTATTCTCCATTTTGGGATGTGCCTGATCTGGATCAGAAAATATAGTGCCCTTGAGAGTTTATTTCTTAGTTCTGTGAACCAGCATGCAGTAACAAGTCTGTATCAGATTATTCCTCTCCTTGCCTCTGCCCACTGTTAAGGCTTAAAAAATGTATTCACTGTATTTTTAAACTTAAGGTTTTGGATGGCTTTTACAAAAATGTAAAGCAGGCTGCTGCTGTAATCTTTCCTGAGTTTAGTCACAAACTGCTGGCTGAAACAGGCAGCCAGATCCTCCTGGCTAACAGGCAACTATAGGGGGTTTCTGCTATATTTTTTGACATATTGTATTTATTTCACCCTTGGAAATAACAATAATTTGCAGTAATCCAGGGGGTTGACTAATTGCACGGGGTTTTGATTCATAGATTGCCAAGAGAGCTGCACCTCTTATTACTTCCTTTGCTTAGAGATGCCTCAATTCAAAGCTTCAGCATCTAGACCTCCTCCTCTGTGACCTTAGATTATCACCTGTTACGCTGAGATCAATGGACTTGTAAGAAAGGATGTTGACAATCAAAAGCAAACAATTTTTAAGCAGATGGAGAAACTGTCGTTTGTTAGATCCCTAATTTGTGCATCGGGAGGAAGAAAGGCTGCACTGCAGAATTTTAAGGCATCTTTAAAGCTGCTTTGATATTGCATCAGAAGAATTTGCTGCCAATGAAGCCAGTACAGACCAATAAAAACAAGATGTGTAGCTACTTTCCCACTCTGTTCTCACCTCAGAGATGGTAAATGTAGATGCGGTTCAGGGTTACAATGAGCAGCACTCTTCAGTTAGCTAATCAGTAGGAGAGAATTCTGCCCTCCACTCTTATCCATCCTTCTGAGTTTCGACACCTTGTACATCCTATGTGGTTAGCTGAATTTCAAGCATTCGCTCTATACATATATAATAGTACTGCCTTTGCCCATTGGCTTCATGGCTGCTCGGTAGGTGTGTGAGAGAAAGAGCACCAGACTTTCTTGGTGGCTTCATTTAATGCACTCAGACCTTTAATCCTAGGTTTACTGCAGCCTGCAATCTGCAAGCGTTCTGTGTTTATGAGTTTTGTACTGTGTGTATGCTATTATATCCGTAATTTAAAAAGTTGTTTCATTTAACTTTGAGGAAATGTTCAATTCTTCCAGATCACTGACAAAAATTTGGATTTAACTGGGCCTGTTTTTTGTTAGGCGCACTCGTAGGCACAGATAGAATGAGGTACTTCATAATGATCTGACCGGTGTCCCATCAGGACACGTGTGAGCACATGCTATGTTTCCCTGCTTGTATGTTTGTAACTTCAATGTTAGCAGACATAGTGGAATTCACATCAGCAGTGGCTGCACCTTGGTAATTACTTGTCCAAATGCAGGGGCATGTTTATGCTGATGTTTTTGCTGATGGGACCTGAACTGACACAGCCACAGTGGATATCTTAGATATTCTGTAGTCAAAACTCTAATTTCAGTGTGGACATTCTTAACTATATGACCTCAGATCCCCCTCAGCGAAATTGTACCCAGTTGTACCCAAATTTGCCCTTTTATTTGCCAGTCTTTTATGAGTATTTAGCAATTCTTAAGAGAAGATTAAAATTTAAAAATTAGAATGCTGGTGAGGATGCTAATTTATTATCTCCATTTTCTTCCTGCAAATAATAAATATTTTTCTTGCTGGAAGCGTGATCCAGGCTTCTGGGGATCATGGCACTGGTTAACAGTGAAATTCATTTTTATAGAAGCAATACCTACAGTTGGGGATTTATTAGCTTTCTGAGCCTCTGAGTTGCAGTTTCAAGCTTTTTTCCCCTGCAATTAATTATTATGGCTAGGAATTTTTTTAAAGGCAAGTTAAGATCTTCCTGTTTACATCTGACAAAGGAGCTGGCCCTTTAAGAAAGTACCAAGCATTTTGAAATTGATGAAGAACTAGAGTGTGTTGGCAATGCTAAAAATGTAACACAAAGCTACTTTCCTTGCATTCTGCAACACCAGACTCTGTTTTTTTGACTTTTGTGTGAATGTCCATTGGATCACAGCTAGGGAGATTTGGTGGGCCTCTCCATCTGTGACAGAGGGGAAGAGTTAAGACTATGCTTGATGGGAAGACAGATGGGATAGTTTTCTCAGTTAGGGTATTTTTAGTTTCTTCCTGGAGCTGCTGTAAGAGAGGCCTGTCTTACTTCAGCAGATATTTTAAATGGTGTATTTTCTTTTTCAAATGCCGTTATTTATTTCTGCTGTCACAAATCAACTGGTAGTCAGTATTTCTCCCCTTTTACGAACAGGTGGAATGGAAACAGCTGCTGCCCTGTGAGCCTGCCACTGTGTTTCACAGATACTGGAGCATGTGTAAAATGTTTCATAAGGATGCAGACCTATAGCTGGAACAAGGACCTGTGAGGGAACCTTTGAGTTTCTCATTGAGGCTGAGCAGGTTTTTTTGTGATGTCACAAAGTGTCACTGTTCTGAACATTCATCTAGTATTGAGTTTTGCTACAGAGCCAACTGGTGTCATGTTATGGGATTCTTTAGCAGGGAGGTAGGACAAGTTAAGTTCAGGTAAAGCTATGACTAGTGGCTCTCATCTCTGTAAAATGGTAGGCTCGAATCTGCCTAAAATATGAAATACAACCAGAAAATCAGGAGGATGAGCAACAAAGCAAAGTACCAATAGAGTTTCAAGGATGGCCTTGAATTCATCATGTCTAGGGCACAATCACAGAAGGAGATGAAACCTTCAGTTTTTTGTGGAAGCTCAGTGGTGCAAAAATGTATACAATGCCATGCAAGATCACTCTTTAATAAATTGGGATTTTGAAGGCATTATTGATGCTACATTGTGGATGCCTGGCTGCTTCCTTGCACATGTTCCTTTTGCTGCTGCTTTGGAGTCTCCAAATGCAAAGTGATTTATCTTCTAAGTTACACTGGAATATCTGTACCTGTGGCTATATGAGAGCTTTTCTTTTAAAACAGCAATCACAGAGGTACGCATAATTGGTAAGAATATAAAAGTAAATGGATATGTCTTTGAATCTGTCTTCTTTCTTAAATTTGACATCATGAAAGTGCCACTGTGAATAAGATGGGCAGCAGACAATCCATCACTTCTAGCAAGGGCTCTGTCTGAAACTGCATGGGGAACAGCCATCTCAGGATGAAAAGCCATTTATTTTAATGAGATAGTGTGCACTGCAGTGAAAAATCACATTTCTGAGCATTGCAACACTAGCTGTTCCTCCATTACATTACTCAAGGACTGAAAGGACCGGCACCTATTGGTCTTTATATACTAAAGTGCTTACAAATTTGATTACCTTTAATGGTGCCAGCAGTAAGATAAAAGTGTGCATTAAGTTATCTTCTGGATTGCAAAGGAGGCCAAGGAACTCATAACATACTTTGTAATTACAAAGCGGTGCTTTGCTGCATCGTCATTGCCTTGGGGGGAAGGAGGGTGACAGTATAGTTATGACAACCCTGCCTTCTCTGTTTACAGGTGTTCCCTTTCCAAAGAATTTCCTTCAGATCTGCAAGAAGATACTCTGCCGGCTTTTTCGGGTGTTTGTTCATGTCTACATTCATCACTTTGACCGCATCATCCTTATGGGGGCTGAGGCCCATGTCAATACCTGTTACAAGCACTTTTATTACTTTGTGACGGAGCTCAACCTCATAGACCGCAAAGAACTAGAGCCTTTGGTAAGTGTGAGGTCTGAGGGAAAGCTCTAGGAAATTTTCCTCCTTCCTTCACTGAGCCTTTCCCACATTTGTTGCAGTGGGTTTCTACTGGAAAGATGGTCCATGACTGAATTTAGGCAAATCAAAAGGAGGAATTCTTGCCTCTGTCCATAGACCTGTCCCATTTGTGGCAGCATCCATGAGAAATTCGGCAGCTTCCACAGAAAGAGAAGAGTACAATGTGTTTTGTATGGAAAGTACAGGGTGGGAAATACTGACATTTGAAAATAGAAGTTCACTTTTCTTCTGCTGCTTCCTGTACTGCATGCATAATTTTTCACTAGTCTTTTTTCAGTTAGTAACAGGGTGGTACTCACAGCAATGACTTGAATGTATGTAAGACTTGAATGCATGTGAAAGGGACAGTGATCTGTATAAAGGTGCACTGGAATTTTATTTTTTTAGTCTTAAAGTGGGCATTTGTGACAAAGTATTGAGTGTGTTAGATCTAGAGCACACTCTAGAGAGACAGATTAGGTAAGACAAAGGTTCAGACAATTAGCAGCATAACAAAACTAGACTCTTCCCCTTGTTCTGGGATAGATCAAAACTAAATTTCTTGTTTCCAAAAATAAGGCTTCAGAAATGGAAACACATTTGTTATTTCTTGCAAATGCTAATAAAATAAAAGTATAGAAGAAGTAAGTGACAATTCAAAAAGTAGTTTATGAACTCTCACTGTGGCCATTTAGCCAATTTTAGAAGGGATTTATTTTTCTGCACAGATCATAGTCTGGAAAATACTGTGTCCTGAAACATATTGATGAAGTGCTACAACCATCAAGATTTTTGAAGTTATTCCAAATAAAAGCACATTGCAAGGAGATGTATAGCACAGTTGGTATGAGATGTTTCTGAAAGTGTGGCAAAGTAATGTTTGCCTGCACTTGCACAGGAATTGGTTGCTATTACAGAGGATGCAATTGCAGAGGATGCCTGTAAAGTAAGACAAAATAGATGGTCTTATTTGCAGCAGTTCACAGTACGGCCTGCTGAAAGACCCTGCATTTGGCATGCATTGATAACTCAGTGTATCCACAATTCTTTCTGGATAGGAGAACTTAATATGCCATCTAAACGTGTTCTAAGGGAGAGAATGAGGCCTTACTAAAGAGAACTCCCCTACCATAGCAGTGCTTTGAGCTTAGCTCTAGCTATTGAATGCTGTGGATATATTCACAAACAAGATACAGGGGAGGATAGCTCAAAGATAGGAAGAGAGGAAATTTACAGCAGATAAAATATTCTCGCCTGCCTTGGAAGGCAGAGTCTAAATATGACTTAATGCCACGGTTAGTAGTACACTCCTGCACTAAGCAGAGAGACTAAGGATTGGGGCCAGAACAGCACAGGAGTTAGCCGAGGTCTAGCCGCAGAGCAAGTTAGGAATGCACTCCAACTGGTTTGGGCACTCCCCTTGCATTCCAGTGTTCTCTTCCTTCATATAATTATTTTTATGATATCATCACAGGACATGGCATTATGAACTGGGATTCAGAGGCTTCCAGAAAACTCTTCTACCTACACTGGGGAAGTTCCAGCTCAGCAAGGTTCCTCCATCTTCCTGTCCTCAAAATGGGCATGTGTCAGCAGTGCAGAGATGCAGAAAAACATATGGCTGGATTTTTACCTTCAGCTAGGCAGGGAGGAGAGACAGAGCTGCCAAAAAAAAGCAGACATGACAAATGATCTTGAATGTTACTACAATAGTTGAGGACAACTTGTGCCCTGCCAGGTTCACCATGGAAGGAAATGAGCCCATGTTATCTCCCTTAATTAGAAAATGGGCCAAGAGCTGATTACATAAACAGACTGGTATATGCTTTAATAAGCAGGAAGGCAACTGATTTATCAATGTATCTTCAAGAAGGGAGAATAACTGGGGAAGCAGGCCCTGGATGAGTACTATTATCCCTCTAGCAGGACTTAGGCTTTTTGTTAAGAATAGATTTTATCAGCCTTCTGCAACCAATGCAGCAGTTATAAAATCAAATGAATCAAATGAGTCAAACTGGATTTTTTTCCCCCATCTCCCTAGGGAGTTACTTAACTTGCCTTTGATCAATTAAAGTGGAGGCTATAGTTTAAAACACTGCTTATCTTTGCCCCATCCCCAAGGCTGCATTAAATTAACAGTACCATGAGTTTTTGCAGAGCTATTTTGTGTGGGGAAAAAAAGTTGGCACACTTACCGACTCTGCAGATGGTCCCAAGGAAAGAAAAATTAATGGCCAGTTAGGTAATGTGGGGAAAAAGAGGAAATGTGAAAACATACCTGCCCTTCCCAACAGTTACCAGGCAGCCAAGACAGTCTGCACCATGAGATCTCTCAGAAGACCTGTAATGCTTGCCTCCTTGGGGAGGCTATTAGGAAATAAACTAAGAAAGATGTGAATTTAAGATATGGCATCTCTTTTATACTGGCTCCCTGTGCAACTGATTTTATTCTCCACTAGCAGCAGTTCACCTTACTTCACTCCTGAGCACCTTACTTAGGCTTTTTGTTAAGAATAGATTTTATCAGCCTTCTGCAACCAATGCAGCAGTTATAAAATCAAATGAATCAAATGAGTCAAACTGGATTTTTTTCCCCCATCTCCCTAGGGAGTTACTTAACTTGCCTTTGATCAATTAAAGTGGAGGCTATAGTTTAAAACACTGCTTATCTTTGCCCCATCCCCAAGGCTGCATTAAATTAACAGTACCATGAGTTTTTGCAGAGCTATTTTGTGTGGGGAAAAAAAGTTGGCACACTTACCGACTCTGCAGATGGTCCCAAGGAAAGAAAAATTAATGGCCAGTTAGGTAATGTGGGGAAAAAGAGGAAATGTGAAAACATACCTGCCCTTCCCAACAGTTACCAGGCAGCCAAGACAGTCTGCACCATGAGATCTCTCAGAAGACCTGTAATGCTTGCCTCCTTGGGGAGGCTATTAGGAAATAAACTAAGAAAGATGTGAATTTAAGATATGGCATCTCTTTTATACTGGCTCCCTGTGCAACTGATTTTATTCTCCACTAGCAGCAGTTCACCTTACTTCACTCCTGAGCACCTTTTAGAAAGCAAAAACTGTCTAGCTGCATGATGTCCGTTACCTCCATCACACCTTCACCCCATGTGGGTGACCTCTTATACATGGTACTTTAAACACTTAAAAATCTGAACTTGGTTTTAGTTAATATCTAATATCATAATATTTAGTTAATTTCTTAATATAGTTGCAGAAGTACAGTAATATCCTGTTCAAATGGCAGCCCAGCTGTTCAAATGGCAGCCCAGCTATGGGGAATAATACTGTACTACTTTATTCTCTTGATCCCTTTTTTCTAACAACAGACATTCGTAAAATGTAGGCCCTAGAAAACATGCAAAAGCACATCATATGCATGTCGTGGGTGAAATGGTCTCGATTTAGGGAATTTTACTTAATTTATGCCAGTTAGCACAACCTTTGATTACTGATTCAGGTATTGAGAAAAAAAGACAACCAGTAAAACACTTGGGGAAGAAACATCCTTCCTCCCCTTTTCTCAAGATCAGCTTCAGTCAAAAACCTCTCCTCCCCCCACCCTAGTCTTAGCTCTCCTTGTTTTTGCTACAGGTTACGCTCAGTCCGTCCCAATTCCTTTAGTGAGGCGATGGGCCATGCATGCGGTTGGGGACTTGTGCGTAGTGGTTTCTTTCTGCCACCGCTTGCTTCTTACACATTTTCCTCTGCTCTGGCATGGGTCATCCGTGGGTTGCAGTCCCTCTGGCCTAGCGTGGTTCATCCCTAGCCACAGTCCCTCGGGGCTGTCCCTGCCCCAGCATGGAGCACCTCCTTCCCCAAGCAATTTATGCCCAATATGAAGCTTCTTCTGCAAAGTAAGGGTTATAAGCTTTAGTTAAGTTATATGCAATCTATTGGTTTAGACCTTGCACTCTGTTTCCAGTTTTCGTGTGGGTTTCCTGCCCAGCACTGTGTAAATTAATAGCTCCATTCATGAGTTTTCCTGTGTTGAATGTGATAATACTTAGCCTTTGACAAAAGTATTACGATGCTGAATTTGATATTGTGTAGTACTCTGATGCCACTAAATAAAAGTGGTAATAAAAGTAGGACTTACTAGTGGTAGTATTATATGATTGTAAGGTGACCGCAAAATTGGCATCTTGTGCTTAGGAATGACCTACAGTAGCAAGCTGGATCCTTGTTACTGGTATGTACAAAAGAAATGGGAGGACTAAAGCTTCCTGCATAGTTTAATAAGATCTTTTTTGACTTGTTCTGTTATTGTTTCAGGAATTCCACTGCTGAGACCTGGAAATGTACAAGCATCTCACCATTACACTTGGCAGCTCTATAGAACAGACAAAAAGTTCACATTAAACTAGCAGTCTGTTCAGCTCAACCTTAATCTTCAGAGCTTGGCTCTTACTCCCTTTCTCCCCCAGAGTAGATTGGATGTCTTCAGAACTGCTTTATAGGGCAGCTCTTCTCTGTTAAAATAGTCTCAATATTTGTACTCATTAACATGATCCCCAGTTGTGAGAGCTATACCTGTTTGTGGTTAAGATACAATTTGACACCTGTTTTTAATACATTTTACTGGGACGGATCATCCCTCAGCCTTGTTATTTTTATGGAATGCAAGCTACTGCATGCAAGACAATATAATCCTTTCCAAGTTTTTGATTTCATTACTCTCATCCCATTAAAGAAAGACTAATGAGCAGGAGTAAAGTGCTGCTACAGGTACAGCAGTCTCCCCCTTAAAGGAATTCAGTTTCTGAAAACGTCCTCTGGCTATATGCAGAAGCAAATCCCCAGAGGTAAAGAACTTTCTTGCAAGAATCATAGTTCCTCTTTGCCATCGCTGAATGCTGGGGGTCTTTGTAGCAGCAGCTGGTGAGTGCTTTCAGGTGCCCAGCTTGACATGGTAACTACAAAGTCTGTTTACTGTTGCACTCTGAGCTGAGC